GTAGGTTTAATTAGGTCAATGGCTTAGAGTATACCGTAATGTTTATGTACGAACAGCCAATTCGAATTCCAGACTATAGTTTAATTTCCATTTGTGGTTGAATATCACAATATAAGGCAGAATTCGTAGTATAACGAGTCTAGTAGTGTATACATATACTACGTAGTTAGTTACGAGGCAGAGTGACAACGAGACAATATTCTGCAGCAAAGAATACTCATTATTCGGGAATACGACATGCGTCATAGAGCGTCAGGTTGAAACAACTAAAGAATCACACTGAATCACAGATTATATAGACAGCCAGCAAGGATTCACACCATGTAAATAAACTTCGGCTGTATTTACTTTTGAAGTGTGTTCACTCTTACTTTGGTACTAATAACTTCGATTAGATAAATGACGTGAAACAGTCAAGGTTTATCATAGGAGTACATGTAATTTCAATGGAATACAACGATACTGTGACTCAAAGCGGAAATAAAAAACGTTCGTTGCATTATTCCATAAATGGCCTATAAATTAAACACTGCACATTTTCAAAAAACAATAAAACACTGCTGTTTTAATAGACAATACACATGTAATACAATATAATGCTCATGTTTCAAGTTTAAGCAGTGTGCTTTCAATTGAAAAGGGGTGTTTCGATGAAATCCATAAAAGTGCTCCCATGATTTACAGTGTAGTTGGCTGCAATTAAAACAAATGATCAGATTTCCTTGATGTTAACAATATGTTTTATTTTATGCTCTGTTTACTAAACACGGATACAAAATTATATGGTAGCCTAAATGTTATTGCAAAATGCCTGTTTTGGGGCCATTTATCATATACTGCTTCCAAAGTTAAAATATTAGTATATGTAGTTATACACATTTTTGATAATTAAGAACTATAAAGACATTCTGATTATTAATATTCATTTATACGAATAATGTTTAAACATTAATATGCTCAATTTTTGCTATTGCTTTGGCAGTTTGTTTGTTACGAAAACAAAATATGAATATGTTGTAGACACTCAGTTCTGGTCTTGAGTAATTATAGTCTTTCGTTGTTGCAAAATATAGAATCACTTATCACGTAGTTGTTTTTTTAAAGTCATTCCATGCTGTTTTGTTTGTGTCGCTCACCAATTATTTTATTATTCACTCAAATGTAAAGTGCTTTAAATTAGCCTCGTTGATTTAAACAACAATAAATAAACACATCAACAAATAAAATTACTTCACAATGATGGAAAATACGTATATGTTGTACTAATAGGATCAGGCAATTGTGTTTAGGCTTCAATGTTATTTAGAGCCGACAACTTACAAACAGCTATTTTTTGTTAAGTCAATATAGATTATTATAAAGTTACGGCATGACTTCTCTTGGTATGAGG